TATATATATATATATATATTGTTATATTTATATTTATTTTTATATTTATATTCATATACTTATATCTTCATATTTATATAAATATAAATAAGCATATAAATGAATAAATAAATAAATATAATTAGCAAGTCTTTCTTTTCAAACAAAATGTACATTACAAAGAGCAAAACTACCAACCGGTCATGTTGCATTTGTCCAGAATCCAACACTCCACGCGAATAATGAGCCAAAAGGTGCTGCTGACTTTCTTGTGACGTGCATTCCTCTTCATTTAAGATTAAATTATGATTATTTATTTGCGGCATCGCCGTTTCACACATCGTCACTGAAACAGTCTGAAGTTCCACAGTTTTATTGACCACAAAATTAGAATGTTTCTAAGGCTTTAACTGAAGATAAAATTGAAAAAAATGAACGATAAACGGTCATAACAACAACAACAAAAAAAGCGAGGTGTAACACAGGTTTGACAAGTGACGACAGCTTGAGCAAAAAATGGTAAATGATCTCCTCGGTGAAGCTATGTGAAATGAGACAAACGCACAGTACAAAAAAACATAAAAATAAAATAAAATTAAAAAGAAAAATTGAAACTTTGAAGTCCTAAATGAAAAAGACAAAGCGAACTAAAACATAATCATTTAAATAAAAGAAGAATGCAAAGGTAAAGTTATTCAAAAAACGATCCAGAACACAAGATAACTGTTTTACCAGCCACAAGAGAAAAAAAATAGCTCCGATTTCTCTAATAGTTCATCACTTAGAAACTGAATAGTCACAGTAAAATTCATATAAAATTTTTAACAAGTAAGTTTATTAGTGTAAATTTCCCGTACTTACAAGTTTCCTGGAAATACAAAGGACTTTAAACTTTCAGAACTCTACCACTCTCCCCGGCTAATACTTTCCTACTAGAAACCGTCAGTAATGTTTAATGCCACCTGCATTTCCTTTTTGTAAAACTAAGGTTTGCTAATATCAACTTTAAGCTTTGTAATCACGCCTTTACTCTACTCTTCCAACCTCTCCTTAAACATCCATCAAAAAAGCCAGCTTATACACCTTTACAGTCAATACGAAAATGACAGTTCCAGAGTACCGGTCAGTTACAAAAACCTTCGAAAACCAGTAGAGAAAATAAAAAGTAAAGTGCTCTTATACATATATATATATATATATATATATATATATATAT